TTTGTCTGTAGACATTTATGTATGTACGTGTGTGTGTATGTGTGTGCGTGTTGTGTGTGTGTGTGTTTGACTCCTCCCACGCCATCTGTTGACATCCTGACATCATGACCGAAATAACCCGCCGGGCGCCGAGTGGGTTCTGTTGACACCAAGGAGAAATCGAAATCGAACGAAGCAAAGTTATTTGAAATTCTGTGAAAAAAAATTTTTTATAAAGTCTGTTCACGTTTGCTTTTGTCGTATTTGTAGTAAAATTACAACGTTATTTGTTACTTTCTTGAAAATACTTTGTTGTTGTTGTTGCTGTTGTTGTTGTTGTTGCTGCTGTTGTTGTTGTTGTCGTTGTTGTTGCGTTGTTGTTGTTGTTGTCGTTGTTGTTGCGTTGTTGTTGTCGTTGTTGTTGCCTTGTTATTGAACCGTCATTGCGAATGTAATTTGGACTATTTTATGGTCTCCGTTTTTTATTTGTCATTTATTTTCTCGTCATTCACAATCCCACAACTGCATGAGATGCTGTTGCAGCTGCTGCTGGTGCTGCTGTTGTTGTTGCAGCTCCTGTAGTTGCTGCAGCTGCTGTGGTTGCTACTGCTGCTGTTAATGTTTTTGTTGTTGTTGGGCTGTTATTGTGTTTGTCAATGTTGTTGTTGTTGTTGTTGCAATTGCTGTCGATGTGTTTGATGTTGTTGTCATTGAAGTTGTTGCTGTGTTTTTTGGGTTGCTAGTTCTTGGCTGTTGTTTATATATTGATATTGTTGTTGCTTTTGTTAAAGTTGTTGATGCTGTTACCGCAACTGTTTATTAGTTGTTGTTTGTTATTGTTTCATCATTGTTTTTTTATGTTATTATTTCATTGACGTGTTTGTGCAATTTTTTCTAAAATTTTGCTTTTTTCATTCCATTTTTTTTTTGTTTTAATTAAATTTTTATCCATTTTTGAATTAATTACTTTTTATGTAAAAAAATTTGTTTCTCTGAATGTTACCGGTGTTGTTTTATTAATGTGCATACCATTCCTTCCTACGAAAACAATACTAAATATTTTCATTGCGTTAGATAGACTCAATTTTTTGTCAATTTTTTCATATTCCTTTAAAAAAAAGTCGTTTTTCACATTTTAAAGTTTCATCTGCTGCTACTTGGTCACACTTTGTCTTTTATTCATTTTCTTTTTTGAAAAAAATTTCCATTTTGAAAAAATTCTTACGTAATATAATCTATTTATCTTTAAACTTTCATTTCACTGAACTGTAATTTTTTGCAAACCCTTTTATACAAAAAGTTTTTTAGTTTTTTTTTATTCAGTCCTTTCTTCTTTTAATGTTTTTTATTCACATTCAGTTTGCCAGTTAGTCATTCATTAATTCATTCATACAACTATTCATCCATCTAATCATTCATTAATTCACCAATCCATTTATTTGTTCGCTCATTCATTCATTCACTTTATCCATGCAGCAGACAATCTTGGTATAGAAGGTTGTATGAGTTATGGTAGAGACTTTGGAGGTACAATATAAAAAATATATCCACTCTTCCTGCTTTCAACAATAGTCTCGTTTGGCGCTTTCTTTTAACCATTGTTTCTTTTTATTTTTTATAAATTTAATTTGAAAAAAAGTAATGTATCATTATCAATACTATGAGCATCATTGTTGTCATCATCTTCCTCATTGTCGTCGTCATATCACCTTGGTCTCGTCATTTTCAACATCGTCGTCGTCGTCCTTATCATTGTCGTCAGTATCATGGTTGAGGTCATTGTCGTCAGTATCATGGTTGAGGTCATTGTCGTCAGTATCATGGTTGAGGTCATTGTCGTCAGTATCATGGTTGTGCCATGTCCCGGCCGGTTATATCACATCCATAAAATTCAGTTTATTGTATTCAAAGCATCGTCGTCATCTTTTTCATCGTCGTCGTCATCATCATCATCAGCCACGACATCATCATCAACATCATCGTCATGATATAGCGCGTAATTATGATGGTGGTAGTCTCTCTCTAGGAGGAATAAATTGTGCCTCCATTCTAGAACCCAGCTACATATTAGGGGGCACTAGATGACGACCGCTGACTAACAGCTCGTAAACCATACCACATGCTTTAGTGGTGATTATCAGGATGGTGATGATAACATGGTGATGATGAGGATGATAATGGTATTGATGTAGATAACGATGATGATGAAGATGAAGATTGTTCAATGATTATTTTGATGTGATGAAGAAAAAGATGATGATAATGTGTTAATGGTAAAATGTTGATGTGATAACGTTTACGTGATAATTAATGATGTTGGTGTGATAATGTTGATGTAGTAATTAATGATTCTGATGTGATAACAGTGATGTAATGATGTGATTTGGCACTTAATATAAGTAGTAGTAGCAACAATATAACTGAAATTGACGAGTGATGATGAAGATAACGATGTGAGGACGAACTAAAACAAAAATGACGTTGTTAATTAAATTTTTAACAATAAAATTGAAATAAAATTTATCATTGCAAAAACACATTAACGTATATTCCTCTACTATAAATTTATTGTTATTTTCATCTACTTATCGCCTATATCAACGTAATAAATATAATGTTTATGTATCACATATGTATCACACACACACTCACGAACACACTCAAACACACACACACACTCACGGAAAAACACAAATACCGACACACACACATCAACACACACACATTCACAGGTAGAACCATGTTGTTGGATGACATACACCACGCATAGAGATACCCAGGAAACACTACAAGCACTGGACAGTCTCGACCTTGACACCAACAAACCAACACAAGAAGAAATTTTCAAAAAATTCGGATTAGAGAGTGACCACGAAAACGACTTTGCAGCCACCAAAACCGGAAATGGAAACGGCAAGGGCGGGTTTTTTATCTGCGGACGTATATACACAAAATGGCGGAGGGTTAAACCAAAAGTGTGGGCCCTATTCAATGAGCCATATTCATCCAGTGGTGCCAAGGTTTTCATGCATCTCTGTTTTACTGTATGATAACATTTTTCCTGGGTTTTTTGTTGTTTATTTTTCTTCACTATCTTTATCGCCATCATCATCTTCTTCTTCTTCTTCTTTATCATCTTCATCATCATAATTATCATTGTATTCATTATTATCACCAACAAAGATGCATCATTTAATTGTACCATCATTTTTATCATGATACCTGATACGCCAACGATGTATCATGTATCTATAAATGTATCAATGTATCGATGTATCAAGATAGAAAGTTTATCATTTTCTTCATTCATCATCGTCATATTCATCAACATCGTTATTATCATCTTCATCAATATTCTATCATTATCATTATCAACCTAGAAGTAATCACAATCTACTCAACAACATCATCCTTATCATCATCATCATCCGAGGCCTTCTCACCTCCAATCACTATTTTAAACTTATTATCAGCGTTAATTTTTATTAATGATTCCAAGTGTGTTTGAGTGTTTTGGGTCATTTATTTAAGAAAAACTATTTTCATTCATCTTGCAATTGTACAATTGTACATGTACAGTACATACTACTCTCAAACAAACACACACACACACATACACACAAACAAGCACAAACATACATACAAACACACGTGCGCACATACACACACACACAAACACACATATACAATACACGATGATAAATTGATGAAGAATATGAAGACGAAAACTAAATTAGTGACAATGGAGGTAAAGATATTATAAATAATAATAATAATAATAATAATAATAATAATAATAATAATAATGAGGATACATAAATTATGATAATGAGGAGGATGATTATGATAATAGTAACAACAACAACGATGATGATGATGACGATGCTGGTGATGATGATGAAAATTCTTAACAAGTTGGTAGATATGACATAAACACGTGACGACTACGATTCCAAACTTTATTGTGCTTGACATTCGTTAAAGTGACCCCTCGAAAATAATGATGAAAAATTTGGTGATGACAACACGGATAGAGAGGCAGATGATGACGTAAACAATGATGTAGATGGGGATGACAAAGATGATGATGGTGACGATGATGAGGGTGAGGATGATGATGACGACGACGACGATGATGAATTTTATGATAGGAAAAATATATAAACCCGATCGTCCTTATCATATTATTTGCTTCGGTAACTGCTTTGGCTTGATGATGACGACGACGATGGTGATGATGATGATGATGAAGAAGAAGATGATGAAGAAGAAGATGATGATGGTGAAGAATATAATGATGAAGAAGATGATGATGGGGATGATGAGGAGGAGGATAATTTAAACAAATGAGTAGCTTACATTCTAAGAATAGTGACCTTATAATTTCAACCTAATCAAATGATTGCCTGCCAAAAAGAATTTTTGTTTATTTTGTTTTAAAAAGTCGACAATGACGATGATGACGACGATGACCATGCTAAAAAAGAACGCAAATAATGTGGCGTTGAACGCAAAATTAATTTTATTGGAAATGTTAACAAGTGTGTGTGTGTGTGTGTGTGTGTGTGAGAAAGAAAGAGAAAGAGAGAAAAGAGAGAGAGAGAGAGAGAGAAACGACGATGACGATGATGATGTTAATGATAAAGGCGTGGGTTGACTTTAAATGATGGCTGGCTAAAGTTTGTTAATGCTTAGATGAAGAATAAGTGCAGAGAAGTTGATGGAGTTGACTGATGAAGCTAACAGTGATGATGATAATGTTGATTACATTGATGATGACGACGACGATGATGATGGTGATAAAGATGATAAAATGATGGAAATGATGATATAGAAGTAATGTTATTACTACTAATCTTATACAAAGTATACGATGATTATGATGATGGTGACGATAATGACCATGATGACGACGACGAAGATGATGACGACGAAGATGATGACGACGAAGATGATGACGACGAAGATGATAGAATGATGATAGATGATGAGGATGAAGAGGAAGGAATGACAATATTGGCGGGATAATTTAAAATAATTGCATCTAACCACATACGCAATGTCATTGATCTTTTATAACCTTCGTTCTTCTCCAGGCATAATGATTTGTCTTCTTTCCGGTCATCATCATCCTCACCATCACGTCATCATCATCTTCATCATCTTCATCATCTTGATTATTAACATCATTATCATCATCGCGTCATTGTCTTCATCACCGCCATCATCATCATCATTTTATCTTTATCATTGTGGTCGTCATCATCACGCCATTGGCATCATTACCATCATCATCATTTTCGTCGTCATCATCATCATAATTATTCATATCATTACCATCATCATCGTTGTCGTCGTCGTCTTCATCTTCAGTAAAAGAATGATTTAACACAAGGCGTTTCCACTTGGAAAATTTTAGTTTGTACGAGTATGCATGTGTCAGATTAACACTGTGTGTATATAAATATGTGTGTGTATGTGTGTGTTTCATTTATATAATCTTTATATGTTTGTACACATTTGTTTGCATGTGTATATTTGGTAGAAACAGATGTGCACCTAAACACGCATTGTCGATAGTCAATGTTGAAAATAATACAAGAATGTTGGCAAGCAAGAATCAAACATCTACACAAATTTAAAAACTTAATACAAATATACAGACGTACTAACATACAAATATACAAACTGCCATACATACAGAAGAGAAAAATACATGTTAATTTATTTAGAGGGCACTTATATTCGGAGCGTAATGTATGTGATCTCGGCGAAAGTAGCTTGCTCGCATTTTGCAAACATTTTCAATAACTTTTGCATGGTAACTTTTTCGCTTTGTTTGTAGATGTGTTTGTTTGTTTGTACAAATGAATAAATGAAAGAATGAATGAAAAAATGAAAGAATGAAGAAAAGTTTCCCCATTGAAGATGATGGATTGTTAATAAAATAGAAATCGATTGCAAATCACATCCTTCGGTGCATTGAAAAAATTATTATGCCTTACGATATATTGACGTGTGACGTACTTTGTGAGTGTGGGTTGTATTTGTGGGTGTCTGTGTACGATCTCTCTCTGTGTATTTACTATGTTAAATTGATTTAGCGTTTCAACTAAACAATTTAAAGCTATGACTGAAAAAAAAATAATTAACGAAGTAATTGAATGCTGGTTTAATTTCACCCAAAAATTAAATAGCCAGTAAAATTGAATTTTACTTAAAATTCAATTGATTTCATTCTTTCCTTCCCCTCATGCCCCTACGTTCTTTCATTCGAACATTTGTCAATTTGTTTGTAGTACTCCATTAACCTGACCAATGGCAATAATTCAACTGTCCCAGAGAAAAATCATCTGTCCATAAATCACTCTTTTCATCATTTTATTCACCCATCTATCTATCTGTCTATCTATTTATCTGTCTATCTATCTATCTGTCTATCTATCTGTCTGTCTATCTATCTATCAATTTATTTATTTATTTGTTCATCCATACAACTATTTATCAGTTCATTCGTTCATTATCGTTCTCAAATTTACTAAATTATCGTGTTATACATTTTTTTCATTTATCCATTTACATATTTATCTAATTTTTATCGGTTCATTAATTAATTAATTATTTAATTAATTCATTTAGTCATTTATTCACCCATCCATCACTTCATTCATCCTTTCACTCCACCAAATTAACAACCTCCCAAACAGATTCTAGCCACGTTATCAGTCTTCTTCATCCTTCTCTCCATAGTCACGTTCTGCTTAAAAACTCACCCCTACATGAGAGTCCCCACCGACCAACAACAGCCGCAGCATCACCATGACAACCACGTCAACAGCAGCAACAGCAGCGGTCAAGCCACCAAGGATGAGGATGGGATTAAAAAAAATAATGATGACGCGATTAAAGAGGATGTCGTCACTGATGAAAATCATGACGTCATCAAAGGAAATGATGATGATGGGGATGACGGCATTATTAATAACGTTGTAATCATAAGAAGCGATGATGAAGAAGATGACGATGGTGGCGGTGATGATGGTGGTTATAATATTAACAAAGGAATTGTTCAGAGAACCAGGAATAGAGGTAAACTTGGAAAATTATATTTTGACGAAAATTATTTCAATATGATATTTTTATAAAAAAAAACAGGACAATTACTACAACTACTATTACTTACCACTACTGCAGCTGCTGTTGATACTACTATTACTAATACTACTACTACTACTACTACTACTACTACTAGTATGAAATATTACATCTTTTAATTACAGCCCTCTCTAGTGCAAAAACATTCACAACCATCCCAATCCATGAAAATGATGATAATGACGCGAACGAAAATGACGATGACGTCACTGATGATGACAACTATGATAACAATGGTGGTGGTGATAATTTGAAATTTGGATTATCGAAAAACTTGAAATTCGGGCTTTCATTATCACAAAAGAAGGCGTCACCATCACCTTCACCATCATCACTGCTATCATCGCCAAAGTTATCATCACCATCACTGTCATCATTATCACTATCTCCAGAAAGTATATTATCATCTTCATCATCATTATTAAAAGTGACTACAACGATTTCTAGTTCATCTTCATCATCATCATCATCATCATCATCACCATCTTCCTCATCGTCGTCCACATCATCCTCGCCTTCATCAACAACTTCATCATTATCGTCACCATCGTCATCATCGTCGTCACCATCGTCATCATCATCGTCGTCATTTCGATCTTCGTCAACAAAAGTTTTAAAAAATGCCGACAAACGCAAGATAATCACACCCCACAGTAGTAAGATATAATGATGATGATGAAAATGATGAGGATGATGACGATGATGACGATGGGAGAATGAAAATTGGTAATAACAATGAGTGTTATGATGGCAATAATGGTGATGATAAGGACTTTAACATGAAAATGGTGATAATTTTCTTGTTGAGTTGTACGTGCGATAATATGAAATATTTTTATTTATCAATTTATCAAACCCCCAACATGTCAGATTTACAAAACAAAATTGCCAACTCACGCTACTACTACAACCAGCATCATTATCGCCATTACTACGACGACAACCACAACGGCCACCACCACACCATCTACAACGACCACAACATCGACCAGCCACATTCGGCTTTCTTCTTCATCGAGTGTGCCTGCAACGTTTGGTTCACATTCGAATACTTGGTCCGATTCGTTGTCAGTCCGAATCGATTTGATTTTTTACGAGCTCCGGTCAATATAATCGATCTGCTAGCCACGCTCTCATTTTACGTTGACGCGATTGCGGCTCGCTTGCGTCTGCCGCGGGAAGCTCTTGATTTTTTCAACGTCATCCGCATAATGCGTTTGTTTCGGCTGACTCGACATTCACCTGGCTTGAAGATTCTCATCCACACATTCAAAGCTAGCGCTCACGAACTCATGCTGCTCATCTTCTTCCTCGTCATCGGAGTCATCATCTTCGCCTCACTCATCTACTACGCAGAAAGAAGCCAGCCGAACGAACGCAACGATTTCCAGTCCATTCCAGTTGGTTTGTGGTGGGCTATCGTCACCATGACGACAGTTGGCTACGGTGACATGACTCCCAAGACTTATTTGGGGATGTTGGTGGGTTCGGTGTGCGCCATCATGGGCGTCCTGACGATCGCTCTACCTGTCCCTGTTATCGTCAGCAACTTCGCCCTCTTCTACTCGCACACGCAAGCTCGAGCCAAGCTGCCAAAAAAGAGACGCCGTGTTCTTCCGTCGGAAGCCGTGCGTCCCAAGAGGAACCCCGGCAAGCGTACCGGGAGTACTGGAGGAGTCTCCGAAAATGGAGATCATCGTCATCACCTCTTGAAGATGAACTTTCATCACCATCACAACCATCAGCAGCAGTTTCCAAACGATCGAGTGAGTAACACAAACCTGCACAACAACAACATGGACGACGACAACACCATCGTCACCACAACTGTCGTCACTAGCAACATTGAATTTTCAAGCATACAACAGAATGAACGACGACAGTTGGCAAGCCGACATAGCGACTCCACGCGACAAACGTTGCTCAAAAGATTCTCTCTGCGCAAGAAGCGACCAAGTGGTCTGTCTGCTGCTGCTGTTTTTTTTCATTTCAAATTCATTTTTCTCATTTTTCATTTGTAAACCACTTCAAAATCAACAACATTAAAAATCATTACTAATTTATTTATGTTATTATATTTTCCATTATCTCCGCTAGTAACAAAACCCAACAATTCAAAATAAATATTGAATGAATGACTGCTGCCTAAGCGATGTTGGCAGATTTTTTTTGAGTGCCGCTGAAATTTAATTTGGCCAAATCAATTCTCTCATTTGAAGCTTTTTTGCAAGCAATTTGAAAAAGTGAGTTAAGTAGTTTATCTTAATTTCAATTGATCCCATGCAGAATGCGACGTTGTTTATGCTAGTTGCCTGACAGGAAACACTAACAACAACAACAACAACGACACAAATAAAAACAACAATGACGTCATTAAAGCCGACACCAACAACAACAATAACAACAGTAGTAGTAGCGGCAACAACTTGAATGATGACGATGATGTTAATAAAAGTGATATAATTAACAACAAACACAACAAAAATGTTACTCACAACGCCTTACAACAACAACTACAGCAACAACAATATCAACAACAACAACAATTTCCGCAAACAGTACATAAATTGTCAAAAAAGTTTACAAGCCGAAATCCCAAATTGAAAAAATCAATGTCCATAAACACACACTCATTATACAGAAAACGCAACAACGACATCAACAGTTGCGACACCAACCCCAACAACCACAACGACGACGACGATAGAATACAGATGACGTCATCTCAACAACAGCAACAACAACAACAACATCATCAAATATCTAACCGCAGAAGATGTTCTGAAAAAATAACCTATGGCAGAGGGTCACCAAGAGTATAGAATGATGAATTTTTAAAAATATTCTTAGTTTAGAGAGAAAAAGAAATTGATTTTATTCATGGAATATATTTCATTAGTTTTTCTTTTACTCAAATTTTTCACATTTTTTTCAGAAAAATACATACAGACGCATTTTAACATTCAATTTATCAAGTGACAAATACAAAACAATCGTGAAAATTTATATTATAGCAGTTAACAAGAAACGCCTAAATTAATTATCATTATTATCCTGTTTAAAAACATTTTCCATTTAATATTATTTTCTTAAAACGTGATTCGTTTGTTCGTTCGTCTATTCAAAAAATTATTTTTCCGAACGCGAAAATTGTTATAAATTAAATAAAACACCAGACATAGTTACATTGATTCAGCTTGTATTTAAAAAAAAAGTTATCCATACCCAATAACTTTTTCTACTATTCCAATAGTTATTGTTTCTATTAGATTAATTTAAAATTACTTAAAATATCCGAAGACTAAAATGCAGATTTATTATTATTCAAACAGTTGAGGCATCACCATTTTTAAATGTTTCCATCACATAATTTCTCGCCCATCCGCTGGACTGTACTTTTCAAACTCATCATCAATTTTTTTCACACCATCATCAAACGTTCCATCAACATTGACGTCAACATTATCATCATCATCATCACCACCGTTGTTCTCTTCATAAGCAATGATGAAGCTCTTTGGGTTTTGAAAATCTGGAAAATTTCCTGACGGATGGAGCGTTGGCTTGCCATCAATTTCATTTCTTTGTCTCGACGGTATCAGCAATGTTGGTCTCCTGGCTGAAATGATTTTCAAATGATTGATAGGTACATTTTATTTACGAAAATAATGAAGTATATGGACATCATCATCGTCATCAGTATCATCATCATCATCATCATCATCATAATCATAATCATCATCACCATCATCAAAGTATTCCGACATTTGCTGGAAGCTTTGTTTCTTCAAAGGGGATAATGCAGATGGTGATAATGATGATGGTGATGACGGTAATGATGATGATTTTATTAATGATGATGATGATGATGATAGCTGGGGTAGTGATGATGATGATGGAGTTGGCGACGAGAGCGATTTCGACCTTGGGTATACGAAAATTTTATCATCCTTGTTGTGTCCTCGAACTGTTTGGGATGAAGTGATGGAGAGGTTTATAAATAATTGAATGAATGAATGATGGAATGAAAGAATAAATGAATAAATAAATGAATGAATGAATGAAGGAATAAACGAAGGAGCGAATAAACAATGATAGAAGTTGAGATATTATTATATTTCAATTATTTTATATAATTTATCAAAATCGACTATCATAGTAACCTAACCAGAAAATCATTTTGAAACGTTAATTAATTATTATCTGGTAGAGAAGGAATTTGGAGATGATACAAACTAATAACAACAAACCAATAAATAAACAATAAACAAAAGATACAAACACTGGACCAATGGTCACAACATTTTAGTTTAAAAACCCAAAAGCTGGCACAGATGACAGGGTCACTACTGCCATCTATAGCGATTGGAGTAAAACACTACTACTAGCAATGAATCAAATGAGAGATAGATAAAAAATCAAATGGACGGATGAATGAATGAATGGATGGATGAATGAATGGATGGATGAATGGATGGATGGATGGATGGATGGATGGATGGATGGATGGATGGATGGATGGATGGATGGACGGACGGACGAATGGACGAATGGACGAACGAACGAATGAATGAATGAATGAATGAATGATTGAATGAAAAATTGAATGAATGAATAATTGATTAAATGAATGCATGGTTGGGTAAGATAAACTGCCTTCTCACATGACCATTCAATATCTTTCTTTCTTTCTTTCTTTCTCTCTCTCTCTCTTTCTCTCTTTCTCTTGTTTCCAGTCTTCCATTGATATTTTTTACATATTCCATTTTATTCACATAGATGATTCATCGCTAATAATTTTTTCTCTCGTCATCATTATCACTCATCATTACCTTTCTACGTTAAACATCATCATTAACATTTTCATCAATAAGCCACTTGATGTCTTTTTTTCAGATTCAACTTCTTCCTAGGCACCTCACCATTAATATCGCAACCATCATTACAATCACCACCATTACCATCATGAATATCATTTTCAGTCATCATCTTCGCCATCATCTTCGCCATCGTCATCTTCATCGTCACCATCATCATCAATAGATACTCACTGTATATAATGGATTGCCAGTTCGGATAGCTGTACTGCCTCTTGGTAAGATAGTAACTGCTTGGAAGGGCTGCTGTAATAATATATTATGTAAATTTATGATAATTTTGGTGGTTAATTTTTTTTTATTAAATTCCAAGAAATATGTGTTTGAGTGCGTGTGTGTTGTGTGATGGACTGTTGAATAAATCAATAGTAATTTAATTTAGATATTTATGAGGATAAAAACAGCCGATCGATGCGAATTCGTTACTGAAACTAAAATACTTTAACATTCAATGTTACTAATTAAATTTTATATTATTATATTCATGTTGCATGTAATGCAACTTTTCACAAGGTCGGATTAGGGATGTGGAGACCCTGGCTGGCCTGCGCTGACCAAAGAATGGACGCAAATGAATGTAAAGAAAATAATTTAATGAATGTAATTAATTAAATGATTGTAAAATAAATAATTTCAAAATCAAAAGAGCAATTTTTTCTTTATAAAAAAATCAGATGGGGCTGCTAAATATCACCTGAAAATAGTGTAGAGTATTTATGATGTTTAAATGAAAAAATTGTTTTGGCCTATTTTTACATAATGCGGTAAAAGCCGGTCTTTTTCTAAGTATCTTCAGTGAAAATGTAATTAAATATGTTTTGAGAAAAATTCGTTTTCGTAGGGGTTACCATTTCTTTGGGGGTTGCGCCTGGCCACCCTCGAACCCCACCCCACTTTCAACAACTTCCAACACGACACAATGTACTCTTACCTAGCACCTTGGCCAAATGAATTTTTTCAAGTTTCATCTGCGTGATGCAATAAATTTGAAATATTATTAACCAGTTACAAATTTAATACTGAACATTCTATAGATGAAATGATATGAAGAAAAATTTTGTTATTCATGGTTTATCAATTGATACAAAATTGTTGATACCTCTTAAATCTTATCAAGAAGGAATAACAATACATCGCTGCTACTACTACTACTACTGCTGCTGGTGCTGCTGCTGCTGTTTTGCTTCTGCTGCTGCTGCTGTTGCTACTGCTTCTACTACTACATACAACTACTAATTTTGGTGAGAACTTTGTTGCCGTGACTGTTTTCAAATGCGTTTTTACATGCAGTGCGTGTGTTTGTTGCGGGAAGAAATGCTAAAAAATTGTAAGAAAATAAATTTTATTAGAATGAAATTCAGTCAGTGTTGAAGTTCAAGTACTATAGTTCAATTCTTATGCTGAAATCCCATGGTCTGTTTAATTTGAGTACATGTTTTAAACAGATTCTCACTCAGGCTGAAATTAATTTGCAGTTTGCCAACTCTATTAATTCTATTTATTTAATAAGTCAAACTTTTATCTAGTTATATTTAATTAAATTTAATAAACTTTCTTCATTTCATGAATTAAACTAACAAAAATACAACAAATAACATTAAAAATATCTATTTTTATTTTAAAAAAATCAAAATTTGAAACATTGAAAAAAAAGTTGTAATAAAAGCTACCTCATCTTTGCTACCAGGCCAGGATCTGGTGAAGGAAAACTGGGAAAACATATAGAAGATGAAAAGGGCTAACATGAACTTTTGACGGCATACGTACATGGTTGGTTGGTTGATTGTTTGATATGTTGTTTGTAAGATTGTTTGGTTGATTTTGATTGGTTGGTGTTTTGTTTGATTGATTGAATAATTTGTTTACTGACTGATCTGATATCTGAATTGTTGGCTGATTGATTGGTTAACTGTTAAATGTATTGGCTGGTTGATTTGTTTTAGGACTTATTTGTTATACGAAAGATTTTTCCTCCACTGATTGGTTTATTGACTGATTGATTGATTGATCTGCCGTTAACTTTGTTATATTTTTAATTATTTATAATGTAGATAAGTTATGTTAAACTATTATTATAATGAATGACGTCATTATAACTAATGATCTGGAATTAATTATGACGACGACGACAAGACCTTCAAAATTATACTAAAACCAAAACATATAAAACATTTAAATATTTTAAAACAAAACATTTATTACAACCTTTTTCCCGTCTTTTATACTACTAAACCGACCAAACAATGGTTAGTCTATATATGAATATACAGTAACATACACAAATAAATACAAACATATACAAATATATACAATTGTCTACAAATATATACAAATTTATACAACACGCATCATAATTGTGAACAAACAAAATTGTTAGAAAATCTATCTACACATGCTAAAATAATATACATACATATGTGTAGTGTGTGTATGTGTGTATACATGTATATATATATATATATATATATATATATATATATATATATATATATGGAGAAAGAGAGAGAGACCTGTGTGTGTGCGTGTGCGTGCATGTGTGAGTGTGTGTATACTATTGGCACATACACGCACACCAAAAATTTTCACGTGCAAAAGTAGAGACACCTCCACAAAACTTTCACTAATCACATTTATACGGGCCTGCATTATTGCATTAGTCGGTGTGTAGGAACAAGGAAAAAAATATGCGCAAATAAAAAAAAAAAAAAAAAACATCAACTTTTTTTTTCTTTTATTTCAGATTTTGTTGCAGTCACACCACTTTGTAATAAATTACATTTGTCACATCACAACGTTAAATGTGAAGTTACATCGTAACGCTATATTGCAGATAGTATTGTAATGTTTTGCATTGCATTGTGTTGCATTGTATTGTATTGTATTGTATTGTATTGTGTCCTATTGTATTGTATTGTATTACACGTTGTTATACGTTACACCACACCACGTCCTGCCATGTTGCAACACGTGATCTCTGACGTCACTGTGGACTGACTAGTGTACATCTAGTGTACACCCCCGTTCTTTTTTTGATAGCGAAGGTTTAGAGATTAACAAATTGATTTCCGAAGAGACACAGGAGCTACTGACGAGCCAATTTGCCACAATTCGGAAACGCTAATGGTATGAAAAGTTAGCAACTTTTTTATTTTTCATGTATTTGTTTATTTGATTATTTGTTTGATTGTATGTTTGTTTCTCTGTCCGTCTGTTTGTTTTATTTGTTTGTTTGTTAGTTTGTCTGTCTGTATCTTTGTTGGTTTGTTGATTCTACGTTATGTTACTTAGTTTGTTTAGCTTTTTATGTTTTAATTAGTGTTTATACCATTTTTAAGTGAAGTTGTGCACTTTGTTTAGCAATGTTGTTTAGCACATTAGCGCGCGAGTGTTCCCAGATTGTGGCGTTTTAATTAGGAATCATAATTTATGGCAATCAATAACTCGGCGGCATATTTAAAATTTGAAATGCATATATTAACCGGAGGCGGGCTAATTAATTAATTAATGTAGGTTGGTACCGGTGATAGAAGATTAACAATTAAACGCTCCGTCGTCAACAATGAGGGAACATATTTATAGCTTAATAACGAACGCTTTCGTCGATATGTCATCATCGTCGTCGTCTTCGTCATCATCAGCTTCATCATCATCATCGTCGTTTTCATCATCATCGTCGTCATCTCAAAGCCAGTGGTGGGACAATAAATAATCGTGCCTAAGAAGAAGTCTTATTAAGAAACTCTATATAAAATGTATGCCTACATTTTCTAGCGTAATTTATTATATAGATAGGGTAGGGCATGAGGTAATTTAATTAAATAAGTAGGTTAGGGACTTCTATTCTTTTACTCTACTTGGGGGTGCGTTTTTCGTTTTGTGTTGTGTGTATATAAAATTATTTATATAAATGTTTTGACAGACGATTTTTTCAAGCGTCATAAAGAACTAAACTAAACGATTTTAAACATTTTTTGAAAAAAAAATTATATGAATCGGCTAAAAATTTTTCAAAAATACAAAATATTACCGAACAGAAATGTCAGAAAATTACAATAAGCAAATTTTTCTTCTGGAATTTAATCAAAATGAAATGAATTAAGGCAAACAAATATTTTTCTAAAATGTTCGTTTTGCAGACATGTATAATTTTTCTTATTTCTGACATCCAGTGGCTTTCATTAAAATATTTCAACGTTCCAAATTCGATATATTTTTTTGGATCTGATATCTAATTAATTATTTTTAAAATTAATAGAGAATAACAAGTAAAGAGTTATTAAAGTTAAATAAAAATGAAATCATTGTTAAAATTATTTACAATTAAGCAGTTAGTTTCTTTTTATAAGTTTTATTAAAAAGTGAAAAAAATAATTAATAAGACTATTATCATGAATATTCAATTATATATATATTTATATGTATTTACACACTTTAATATTATATTTAGATATTTATCTACAGAGCATATTTTGATATACATTTAACCTACACACACACACACACACACACACACACACACACACACACACACACACACACAAACGCAGCTTAGCATAGTTGCATATTATCAAGTTTTCTTTCATTCTATCGAGTTTGTTCATCATGCCTTTTCCTTACCAGCTCAATTTCTCACTCTCTCTCTCTCTCTCTCTTTCTCTCTCCCTCTTTCTCTCTCTCTCTCTTTCTTATTCTTTCTTCTCTCTCTCTCTCTCTCTTTCTCTCCCTCTTTCTCTCTCTCTCTCTTTCTTATTCTTTCTCTCTCTCTCTCTCTCTCTCTCTCTCTCTCTCTCTCTCTCTCTCTATCTTCTATCTTTCTCTATCTTTCATATCCTTCACTCTTTCTCTCATCACGAAAGGTGGCCGTGAATTTGGAGGTCATATTTTGATTCGGAGTAGTTCTTCATATTTTAATTTATTTTAGCAAGGCTTATATATACAATTTTTTAGATAAACGTCGAACATTGAAATGTGAATGAATCTCAAAAAGAACCATTTTCATTCAATAGTTAATTATTCATCAGGTGAATTTCAAAATGGGATACGCTATAAAAAAATTTTTAATGAACGTAAGAACATGAGACAATTTTTTAGGAGGCTAATAAAATGCACCACACATATGAATGAATATATATAACACAAGTCAGTTATCTCAAGTTCATCAAAAAATTAGTTCTAGGTCATCACTCAAAAGTAGGTCAAGGTCACCACCCCAAAGTAGGTCAAGGTTCGAGTAACACGTGCCACCTACACACTTGTTCGCCCTTACTTTCCAGCATGGCTGTCCAATGGGAGGCATCATCTTCGCTGCTGTTTGTGTTACCTGAGTTGGTTGGTTGGTTGGTTGGTTGGATGGTTGGTCGGTCGGTCGGTCGGTTGGTTGGATGGTCGGTTGGTCAGTTGGTCGGTTGTTTGGTTGGAAATGTGTGTTGTGCACTTGTTTTGTACTGGAGTGTATATAGTGTACTATACTTTTATATACAGCACAGTTGTTTATGCTCAATGTATCTTTTTTCAAATTATCGAAGGTACTATCATTAAACTTTTTTATTTAAGCTTAGAAATGTGTATGCATTTGGAAGGCTAATTTGTACATTCCGTTGCATGATTAGCCTATTAAAGTGCTAACTCTATTCATAATTTTATATTTACAATTTAAATATTGTAATTTGTAATGATTGACGTTATAGAGTTAGCCACGCCTACCCATTGTGAACCAGCCAATCATCTCCTTGCGTTTGAGGCTCTTCTGTACAAATACACTCACCATTAAAGAAACGTCGGGAAGCTGGAATTGAGGAACCTGAGGATGATGATGAGGAAGATGATGATGATGATGAGGATGGCGAGATGATGGTGATGATAATGATGACTAAAAGTTAATAGCGATAATAACAATCACAAAAATACAACACATTGTCACATCAACTGCATGAGCGACAGTCACAACTACTACGCCAACGACAGCCACAACTACTACAACAGCGCCATCTTACTTGGAACATGAACGTTTCCTTGTAGAGAGGATTAGGCTGCCCTCTCCTAATCGATGTCTTCGAACGACTAATTTCCTGACCGTTGGGGGCCATGAGAGCCAACTTTACGTACGTATCTGGGTAAAAAATAAGTAGGTAAGACTGTTTTTGGGGTTATTCAGTATTTTGTGGGTCAGTAAGTGTTTGATCATATGTTATTCATTTATTAATTTTACTAATTTATGAACGTATATTTATTCAAGTGTAACTGTGTATGCGTGTGTTGTGTGTTTGTATGATTGTGGGTGTGTGCGTGGTGTGTGTGTGCGTGTTTTGAAAAAGTTTGAGAATTCATTCGATAGATGTGAGTCGTGATACTATATTCTTCGAGAATGATGGTGGGCATGTGTAAAGATAATTACATTGACGATGTCGATGATGAATGTGATGATGCTAATCACCATTTGAGCTATAGCAATCAGTGACAACTGTAACATAATTAATGACATGCTAGTAGTAAAATGAAGCAACATGTTCTTGAACGTTTGCTAACCAGAAGATGAGAATGTTTGGAAGGTGTGGTGGAAAGATGAGCATGAGGAAAAAATGGTGAAAATGATGGTGATGGCAATTTAATTTATAATGGTAGGATACTTCCAAGAAAATACACAACATAAACAAGCATGTAAAGACAAATTAAAATCTTATTAACGAGAATACAAGAAAATTTAATCGAAAAAAATCGCATTGCAATGTAATAAAAAGATTTAAAAAAAACCTAATCCGACAAACCTGGGGGTCTCTTGGCGGCCATATTTTTGAAATTACTACCTTTGATAACCTCGACGGCCATCCTGCCTGTCACTCCATTGTAAGCCACGCCCAACATCAGCTCTAACGTTCCAGCGTGGTTTAGTGAATGTGTCGAAGAATCACTCTCGCTGTGCGTCAGGTTGCTTGAGACGCTGCTCATTGAGTCGCCGTGCTGTGTGACGTGTGCGTGCGTGTGTGTGCGTGCGTGCGTGTGTGTGTGTGCGTGTGTGTATTTTATTAATATTATTTTGAAAAAGAATAATGAGAATGAGAGGAATATTGATGAATAGAAATAATAAAAAAATATTTGAAATACAAAAAATAATTGACAGGTAAAAATGAATAAAAACAACCATAATAATAATAAAAACAATAATAATAATATTAATAAATAAATAAATCATAATAAAACTAATTACAATTGATTTGACAGAATGTTTTTTGGCAGGAATAAATGGATTACGTCGAGAGCATAAAAACGAAAAAATGATATTCACATCAAGCCAGCCAGCGTTCCATGGCAGACATTTCCACACATTCTCACAGACATACAAATCTACCCTCTCTCTCTCCCTCTCTTTCTCCCTCTCTTTCTCTTTTTCTCATTCTGTATCATTCTTTCTTATCTTTTTTCTCTTACTTTGATTTTTCTTTTTCTCTTTTTTTTCTCTTTCATTCTTTATATTCCTTATATTTACGAAATTTACAAATGAACAATGTACAGGATGTGTACAAATTATGAATATAATGAAAAACATTTATACAAAAATTGAACAAAATACAAACATGTGCTGTGCAGTCATCATTTTAAAAACACCTACACTGGTCTAAAACAATCAGACGCACGTGTATGCGATATTCAATTTCCCAAACACAAAAAGAAACAAATACAATACGAGTCTGCGCAAACAATACGCGCGTACAATACTCACTACACATACAAAGTTTCCATTATTACCATATAATTAGTATTCCTTGATTGTTTATCCAGTCTGAATTATGGCTGGCCTACAAATTGGATGCAACACTATAGACTGGATGCCAAAATTGATACCCACCATATTATCACACATACACGCACGCACACCAAACACACGCACATACACCAAACACACGCACCAAGCACATGCACACACACACCACAAAACACCACACGCCACAGTGCATATTTGTAACGCATACGCAATTTCGTGGATCTAATTAACGCATACGTTTTGTGCGCCAACCATTGTATTGTGATAATTCATGCGTTCAACAATTGTTATCATTCAAATTAGCTGCGTGTACGTGTGTGGCTGCCTGCCTTTGTCCCTGAAATGCGATGAATTCAATTGTTAGAAAAAAAAATTTTAATAAAAACTTTTAACAAAGAAAACTAGAAAAAAACTAAAAGAATCTTTTAAAACAAGCACAACACAGACAAAAAAAATAAAAACTTGCACGCCCCGCCGGCAAAAACATCCGTGAAAATATTGAACCTCACGTAACCAGCCAACCATTCAAATATCAAATATTTCGATGTTTTAAATTTTCCATCGCGTGTACTCTGTGTGTGGGGTGGACAACAACATGTTACTCGTACATAGGCAATGAACTTTTTCGATAATTTGTTTTTACAAAGATGATGACTTGCTTATATACATGTACTTTAATACAAAAAATGCATAAAATTACACTCACACACACTCACAGACACACTCACACACACACACACCTTCACAAATGCAAAGCCAATCTTATACAAAATCTTTCATTTCAAAGATACAAAACTAACAAAACGACTTAACGATACATGTTATCACATACAAATACAATCTACACATACACACGCATTTACATAGGCAAACTGTCACACATACATACACGCACACACATTCACACACAAGCTAATCGTCACACACAAAAACAGTACCTACGATACCAGGAAGAGAGAGTACTTACAGCGGTTCTTCACCAATGAAAATGGTCAATAGATGTGTGTGCGTGTGTGTGTGTGTGTGTGTGCGTGCATACAAGTTATGTATGTATGTATGGAAGGATGAGACGGGAAGCAGAAAACCTGCAAAATTAATGAGCATCGCCGGCTAATATGGTTGGAATGGTTGTATGTGCCCTACCTGAGATGTGCAGCATTCATTGGGAGTAAAAGATTCATTCATTTGTACGTTTACAAAGTACAATTGTGTACGTGTGTATGTGTACTTGTGTATGTGGGCGTATATGTGTGTACGTGTGTGTATATAATTGAGTGTGTTCGTTTGTGTACGTTTGTGTGTGCACGTAAATGTGTGTGTTTATGTTTATCTAACTCACTAAGTTATATAATGATTAGATAAGTTATAAATCAGATTACCATGGAACTCCAGGAGGATAAACAGTTATTTGCATGCCACATACATAAACACAAATCAAAATAATACAATCCGGTTCACACATAACTATACAACAACTGCATGTACATACACTATACATGTATTGCATGTACATATGCAAAAAACATATTGCGTATACCACAAAAATACGAACTAAAACAACGAAAAAAAAACAGAAAATTAAAAAGATACAAATAAAAAAAAACAATTGAATACAAAAGAAATATATAAACACGCCAACACATGCTAACCCATAATTAAGCAATTGTCAAAAAGTGACAATCCAGTGAACGAGAAAAAATGATACCCGAATGAATACCACCAGATACCAAAAATACGCATTTATAAATACAATACACCTACATATTCGCTTGCAAAAAATCCTTGTATCAAACATCATATACATTTCCAATACACACCATGATTGTACAAACACAACAAAATACAAATAGGAACATATACACGCATACATACATTCGTCAAAATACACAAATACAAGTGAATAATCATGCATACATACAAACACACATACAAACATTTATACATATATAAAAGAAAACAAAATTATGTTTTTCAAGGTAGGATGGGTAGAGCAAGAGGAAGTGTTGATTGCCTGAAAGTGCTGGGAAAAAAATTATTGCTCGTTAAGTCACACGCCTGAATACATAATTTTGTGTATTTTGATGTATATCCGAACACGTGTATTTTAGGTTGTATATTTGTTTGTATATTTTAGGTTGTATAATTGTTTGTATATTTTGTATATTTTAAGTTGTTTACAGTAAAACCTGTTGTATATTTTGATGTATATCTCTTGTATATCGAAAATCAAAAAAATCACTGAAAAAAAGATCTATTACGGATTCTGAATGCATAGAAGCTGAATCAGGTGAAAGAATGAAAGATCTGTTGTATATTTTTATGCATACCCGAATATAAAAAGGTACATTTTGTATACATATTGTACATGCAAAAGTTTGTTTCTTTGCATTTTTTATTTATTGCATTTTTTATTTTATTTATATATACAGAGGTTAGCGTGTATATATGCATACGCGAGTAACACTCATGTTTCTATTTATATTTTATGTATGTTTGTGTTGTATTTAGGCATCTAAATGTCTCTTATTTATCTATTCTTGCCATGAAACATTGATGGATGTAGGATGACTTATGAAATTTTCTTAAATTGCACGCCACGGTTTTTGTGTTGTGTAGTTGTATATATTCTTACACGCAAGCGTATTTGTAATTTCGCACCGCTGTATAAATTTTCATACAATCTGGAAAAAAGTGTAGGCTTAGGTGCGGTGACATTCACTGATCCTTCGGTTTTATTTTATATTCATTACATCTGGTCCATCCTGGAAAAAAAGACAACGTTTCTTTACTAGGCACAGTAGAAAAGGCAGCATCTTCTTACTATCTACAGTGCACACATCTCAAGTGCTAACACGTAAATTTGAAAAGTTCAATTGCCAAACCAACATGAAAATATAAATAATATTTGAAAAATAGTTTCGGGTAGATAGTGATATGATTCTCAGGACACAGAGATAAGTTATGTGCGTGCAAGTAACACACGCAGTTGAATCCAAAGATCAAACGCTTTTGGCATGGAAGAAATGAAGAAACATTCAGATACAAACTATACAAACATGCATAAAAACATTCAGATACAAACTATACAAACATGCATACAAACATTCAGATACAAACTATACAAACATTCAGATACAAACTATACAAACATGCATACAAACATTCAGATACAAACTATACAAACATGCATACAAACATTCAGATACAAACTATACAAACATGCATACAAACATTCAGATACAAACTATACAAACATGCATACAAACATTCAGATACAAACTATACAAACATGCATATAAACATGCCAATACATTTAATTTATTTAATACAAAAAGCATCGGATAGATCCCAAGAGTGTGGGCGAGTCCCAGCTACATCCATCATATGCTTCATCTGTCCGCCACAAACCACATGCAATGTTGAAACACACAAAAACACATAACAACACACAACAGTACGTAACGGTGCACATGAAGTGACAACAACACAACAACATCGAACAATAAGATCACAATCAAAATAGCACAACTACAACCATGGGCAACAATGGCACTACAAAAGCCAACTCAATTATAATGAAATAAAATGAAAAGTGAAACGTAAAAAATGCTCAAACTAAAATCTACCAGTGTTGTGGGAATTAATTCATTGAATGTGATGAATTAATCTCTGGATGGGATGAATTAATTCACTGGATGTGAATTACTTCATTACATCTAACGATGAAGGATGAGGTGATAAAGTTATACAATTAAAATTAAGATGCAACTTGTCAATGTCTGCGTGCGTACATTTGTGATTGAAAATATAATAAAAGTTTGTGTTTGTTTGTTTGTGTGTGTGTGTGTGTGTGTGTGTGTGTGTGTGTGTGTGTGTGTGTGTGTAAACTCTAGTATCATATACTTTAAACCCAAATTTTTAAATTGAAGCATAAAAACATATATATATATTTTCCATTTTCGTCGAGTTCATTTTCATTTGGTTTTTTTGTTTCGGGTTTTCTCTCTCTTTCCTGCCTTCTCTCTCTTTCTCTCTTTCTCTACCTTTCTCCTCTCTCACAATTACATGGATGATGAAACAAATGCAAGGTTCAACCAAGCGAATGAGCACAGAAACGAAAAATGAAAAATAACAAAAAAAACCAACAAAACGAAAAACAAAAAAAATGAAAAAACAATAAAATAGAATAAAAATAAAAAATATTGATTTATATCAGTAGCCAGTGTGCGTGAAGATGATGATTCTGATGGCGACGATGATGATGTGATGATAATGAAGATGCAATTTCTGCTTGCTCGTTTGGTTCGTTCATTTTTTTTTTGTTTGTCTGGTAAACGCCTACTTCCTAACCCTACCTTCACCACGTTTTCGTTAATTTTTCTCTCTTTCTTTTTTTGTAATTATCTCCATTCGCCATTTTAAAATTTTCAATTTCGTTTGTTTACACTTACGTAGTATTTTTAAAATACCAAAATGGTTAAAAGTTACAGGTTAATAATTGCACTCTTCAAGGTTCAGAGGAAAAGATACAATTTATTGCCGGCGTTGTATTTTTACCTTATACAAATTAACAAATATTTGCAGACTATCTTTTAAATTATTTTTTAATACTTTAATTCTTTAATTTTATAATTATTTTCATTTTTTTTTTACTTTTACATATTTTTTCTTTTTTTTCACTCTTTTTCTGTACTACCATAAAGTACAAGCAAGTGTGTCCAACATTGCTGGCAGTGGCAGAGCTAAAGAGATATCATAGAGATGTTTGAGTGTGAAAGGAGAGAGATATGGAGATGTTTGAGTGAGGGTTGGAAAAATTAAAAAACCCTAATAAAAAGTGTAAACATTTGCCGTGACATCATCGTTATCGTCGTCATTTTTATGATGAGTAATATTATTATTATTATTATTTTTATTATTATTATTATTATTATTATTATTGTAAACATCTTCATCGTTATTTTTATTACCATTATCTTCTTCTTCATCGTCATAATAACCATAATATTTATCATCATCATTTTTATCATTATCATTTTTAAGATAGCCATCATCATCATCAGAGCAGCAGGCTTATCACCTTCATCATCATCTTCATCATCATCGCCGTCATCATCATTAAAAGTTATCTTATCTTTGGCTCTTATTCATTTTTGTTTGTCTAAAATATCATCATTCATTATCATCATCGTCATCTTTCATTATCGTCATCGTCATCAACATCATCATCATCGCTATCATCAACAACATTATCATTATTGTCGTCATCATAATCATCAAAATTTGTATTATCAATAGTAATAGTAGTAGTAGTAGTAGTAGTAACAGCAGCAGTTGTGGTAGTGTTAGCCGCAGCTGTAGTAGCAGCAGCTGTAGTAGTAGTAGTAGTTGAAGTAGTTAGTAGTAGTAGTAGAAGTTGTTGTTGTTGTTGTTGTAAAAATATTATTAATATGTGTTAATGACCATAGCTATCATTATCATTCAACATAATCATCATTATCATAATCATAATCATCGTCATTATCATTATCATTACTTTCTACTACGACATCACAATTATCATGCGACTTTTATTGCTTCCGTCGTATTCATGGTTTTTGGTGACGGCGGCAAGTAACCGGAAATGACAAAAGCTATTAGTGGTGTCAGAAGAGGAATATTATCTTAATCACCACCATCGTCGTCGTCATCTTCATCATCATCATCATCATCTTTATAAATGTTATCCATCTTTGTCATTTTCATTATTGTCAATATCATTTTAATAGTTCTTACGAGTATTATCACTCATTCAGTCATTTCCAGTCCTTCATTCATTCATTTGTTAGGTCATTCATTCGTTCGTTCATTCATCCGCTCGTTCGTTTGTTCGTTCATTCATTCAATCATTTATTCATTCTTGAGTAAACATAGAGAATGTGGGTGTAGATTGATGTTTTGTGTTTTTTTCGAATGACGTAATGACTGATTGATGGAATGATATTGTGGGGATTTTTCCTTGTATGTTTTTATGTATGAATGTGTGTGTCTATATATATGAATGTACATATATAAATGTATATATGTGTATATATATATGCGTATGTGTGTGTGTGTGTGTGTGTGTGTGTGTGTGTGTGTGTGTGTGTGTGTGTGTGTAATTGTCACTTTTCATCCACCGCACCCCAGCCATCGTTGATGTTTCTCTTTATGAGTTAACGTTGATAAAATCAATGCTTCGACGACTGAATACTTTGCAAAACCATTAAAAGAAAAATCGAACACATCTCCAAACATTATTATAAAATTCACAAACACGGATTAAAAAATGCACGCGTACAGAGCCACACGCAGACCTACTGACACGCAGACACTTCGTACACGTACACGCACACACGCCACACCACACACAGACACACACACACATACAAGTAGTACATTTAAATGGAACATACCATTAAATTACTTCGGGGATCGAGGGGTGTCCAGAATGGAACGTTGTTCGTATTCAAGCGGTTGAAATTCACGATGGTCTCTCCAATTAGGCGATCCTTCTTCAGTCGCTCGCATCCGTACAGTCGCATGCGAAGTCCCATGCTCGTCAAGTCGTCTGCACGCATCAGTGGCCGGAATGCAGTGGGAATGGAATTATTGAGGATGATATGATGTGGAAAAAAAAACAACAGATTAATGATGATGTTGTTGGGATGAAAGAAAAAGAGGGAGAAAGAAAGAAAGGAAGGAAGAGAAAGAAAATAAAAAAAAGAAAGAGAGAGAAGAAGAGAGAAAGAGAGAAAAAGAAAGTTGAAAAAAGTTAAAAAGAAAGATGTAAAAAAGGAATGAAAAAAGGAAAGAAATGTTGGAGGATGACCAGATATGAAGAAGAACCGATTATCAATGACGTTAGGAGTTAAGAAGAGAGAGAGAGAGAAAGAGAGAGATAGAGAGAGAGAAGAAGAGAAATAGATTATCAATGACGTTAGGAGTTAGGAAGAGAGAGAGAGAGAGAGAGAGAAAGAGAGAGAGAGAGAGAGTGAAAGAGATTATCAATGACGTTAGGAGTTAGGAAGAGAGAGAGAGAGAGAAAGAGATTATCAATGACGTTAGGAGTTAGGAAAAGAGAGAGAAAGAAAGAGAGAGAGAAAGAGATAATGAAAAAAAGAGAAAAAAATATATCTTCAAAAGAAAGATATAGAAAAGGAAAGAAAGAAAAATTGAGAGGTTGAGAAGGCAAAAAAAACTAAAATATGGAAAGTTAGAAAAAAAGTTTGAAAAATTGTTTGAGAAGTAATAAAATGAGGCAGAAAAATTGATGGTAAAAGAAAAAAAAAGCTTTTTTAAATAAATGCAACGCTGAAAAAGTAGAACAAAAAAATTGATGGAAAGAAATGAAAGTAAAAATGAAAAAATAATAAAATAATAAAAACAAAAATTTCATAAACTTGACATGATTGAAATTTATGGATAGTTTTAACACTCAATTCATTGCAGCTTAGTGCATTTGTTAGCGAGTTTAACGTATCGCATCCCGTCCGTTCGAACAACCAAAAAATATTGCATGCCAAATGAATGATGAAACAATTTTTAAAGATCTTCAAAAGTGCCTTGCTAGGGGAACGTTGGAACCAAAAAAAGTGAGTAGTGGGAAAAAACAAATAATTTGAAATAGGAAAAACAGCAAAAGTTAAGACGAAAAAGCGAAAAAGAAAAATGGAAAGAGAAAGAAAAAGAGCAAGCAAGATAGAGAAAGAGAGAATGAGAGAAAGAGAGAGAGAGAGAAATAGAGAAAGGAGGAGGGAGCAAGTCGGAAGGTCAAACAATCATTCAATGCATCATCGTCAAAAAACTTTTTGCAATTTAAATCTATTCTTTTTTACAATTTCCTCGTCAGAAATTTTTCATATCACAAAATTTGAACTCAATTCTCACAAATTATAGACGCCGTCCTATCCTATTTGGAGAGAAACTTCTGTGAAACCAAAAAATACGAGCGTAATCGAGCAAAACTTAAATCATTGCACTAAAATAGAAGGTTTGATTTTAATGAGGATTTATTTAAAATGATTGAAAAATTGTTGAAAAATTATTTTCTCTTAGTAAGTACCTCGCTGGTTGTATAGGTACGTGTGTGTGTTTGTGTGTGTGTGTGTGTTCGTGTGTGTGTGACGTGTGTGTTTACGGATGTGTTTGTGCAATATAAAATGAATAGCTAGTTTTACAATTGTATATGCATGAAACAGTATCTTCACTATTGTTTAGACTGTGATTTTTTACATCTGAAGTATAGCTAAACAACTAAGTTATAAACTATTCAAGCAGATGACAATTAAAACTATTTAAAAGTTTGAAATAATAACCCAAAAAATAACAATGGCCGAATCAGAAAGAATGAAAAATATCTGAAAAATGGACCCATTGTAGCGTTGTCCTGGAGCTATTCAAGCTTTCACTCCAACGACGCTCTTACAAACAACACTCTTGAAAAAATTCGTCTCAAAAATTTTAATCTTTCAATCTAGTGCGGACATTTTTCAAAATATTTAATAAAAAATTTAATTTGTGAAAATAAATTTTTTTGGACTTGAACGACAACAAATCAACGGAACAAAGAAAAGAACAACCCAACTACAAACTCTAAACGTTCACAATAAACAAAACTTTTTCAGTGTAGAAATGAAGGAAAGTGTAAAATCATTTATAACATTGAAAATTTAAAAAACTTGATGGCAAAACAAATTACTTCTACAATAAAATATCAGCGAAACCAATGATATCGAACCTTAATAAATGATCAGAGGCGGATCTGAGGGGCTGAGTTGGCCATCTCCCGCTTTGAGCAATTTTTTAAAAGTATGTAAAAATCAGTTTTCGCAAAGAAAAAGCACTGTTTTATGTACAAAACTCACCGGAAATTGACATGACAAGAAAAAAAATGGTCGCCAGCTTAATTTTGAAAAAATGTCAAAATTATTAGAAAATTCTCAAAATTTAGTCCCCTCACCCGTTAAAGTTTTCTAGATCCGCCCCTTTGAATCAAAAAAAAACAACTCATTCTCTTAGGACAAAACAATAGAAAATTATTTAAAATCTCAAGAGCAAAGCGAAAAGGATATGAAATAAACATTTGTCAGAAACAACAACACAAACAAATTGAATCAACGACGACAACATTGGTGACTGCAATCGTAATAACAATAGCAGTGGCGACAGCAACCACAACGACCACATATAACTTTATTTAATACATAGATACCTGTAGGAACTTTGAAATCGAAAGTTTCATTAAATTGTGGATTAGACTCCGCTGCTACCACCACTTTGGTCTTGTGACGATGCTGATGATGATGATTATATTGGTGGTGGTGATGATAATGCTGCGTTGATATTGATGATGATGATGACTGAATTATTTATGAATTCTGAATAATTTATGAAAAATTACGGAAAAAATAATAATCGCATCTCAATAGCAGCCTCGATACTGATGGTGGTGATGAAAACAATAACGATGAGGACCATGGTGCTGGTGATAAGAATGATTAAAAAGATGATAGTCATGGTGATGACGAGAAAAATGATGACGATGTTAACAACAGCAGAAAGGAGAATGATGATGATGATAATGATGACGATGACGATGAAGATGATGATGATGATGATGAAGAAAATGATGATGATGACGATGAAGATGATGATGATGATGATGAAGAAAATGATGATGATGATGAAGAAAATGATGATGATGATGATGAAGATGAAGATGATAATGATGACGATAATGGGAATGATTTTTGTTCCAATAAAAACGACGGAAGCCACGATGATAGATGGACCGATAGTTATGAAAATTGCTTTGGAGGAATAATAAAATGATGATGATGATGATGATGATGACGACGACCAAGATGATGATGACGACGACAAAGACGATGATGAATGATGTTTAAGAAGATTACGATAATTATGACCTTGACATTGACGGATGTTTATATATTTAGAAATAATTCCACCACCAAAAAAAACTATTACCTCAAATCACCATCTTTAAATTATCATAAGTAACCACAATACATACAATTATGACATCAAAAAATTATAATTTATGCAAATCCCTCCCAGACCACGTAAAATCCCAAGGCCTACCTTTTTGATTGGCAGTAGGAGCATGCGCACTTGTGTCTGGATGGCGCCTCCCCTTTCGCGACTGGGCAAGTCACGCGCCTCGTGAATAATTAACGTTAGCCTGCGTAATTATAATACATGATTAACGTATGCCAATTAGCATAATTAATGCGACGCGAATGATTGAAGTTAATTTGCATAATTAAATGTCAACGTAGACAGCCAAAGATCTGACAATGACAGATGGTGGGTTGAAGGAAGAATAATGAGAAAAAACATTGGCTAATTTAGAAAAAAAATTGAGAATTAATTACCCATATTAAATTAATTTTATTATTATTATTATTATTATAGTTGTTAGTATTATTATTATTTATTTATTTACTTATTATTGATATGTTCATTCATTCAATTTATCATTTATATTTAAATTTATTCAATTAGAGTTTTTGTAGTGTTTGATTAATTGGTTAATTAAATGATTCATAACTGCATGTATTTTATTGCAGCAGCAACAACAACTAAGCCACTAAACAACAACACAACAACAAAAACAACATTAACAACAGCAACAAAACACCAACAACACCAACAAAAAATTAATAAACAACAACAGCAACAAAACAGCACCACCACCAACAACAACAACAACAGCAGCAACAAAACACCACCAACAACATCAACAACAACAAACACCATTAAAAACCACGCACCTGTTGACTCTACAATCGTGACTCAGTGTTATCTTTAACGACCCGCACGTTGGCAGACTATTGTTATTGTCATTGTTGTCATTGTTGTTGTTGTTGTTGTTACTGCTGCTATTGTTCGGATTTGTCAAATCACTGGCGTCAAAAAGATGGCTCTGTGTGATGAGTATTTTGCATATAACATCATCAATCTACATAACTCAACTCTAATCTAACAAACGAAAGGATGAATGAATGAATGAATGAATGAGTGAGTGAGTGAGTGAGTGAGTGAGTGAGTGAGTGAGTGAGTGAGTGAGTGAGTGAGTGAGTGAGTGAGTGAGTGAGTGAGTGAGTGAGTGAGTGAGTGAGTGAGTGAGTGAGTGAGTGAGTGAGTGAGTGAGTGAGTGAATGAATGAATGAATGAATGAATGAATGAATGAATGAATGAATGAATGAATGAATGAATGAATGAATGAATGAATGAATGAATGAATGAATGAAAACATGGATAAATAAAATAAATAAACTGGTATAAAATTTCACTAAAAATTTGCATCCATTCGTCTGAGAACTAGCAAATGTTTATCTGACCATCCTCACTAGGTCGATACCTTATGGTGGAAACGTGCGAATTCCTTCTTGCTTACAAAAATGTACTGTGGTTTTATCAAAAACGCATACACACGCACGCGCACACATACACACACACACACAAATATATATATATATATATACACATATACACACACCATATGTGTATGTGTGTATGTATATACAAATGGTATGTGTATGTGTTTGAACGGGAATATACAAACCACACATAAACGGTGTATGTAAGTATGTCTGTGTGAATCTGTACGTAGATACGCTTATGACTGTGTTGTATATTGTATATATTTGTACGTCGCATGTAGTATGTGTGTGTGTGTGTTTGTTTGTATGTGTGCGTAGGTGTGTGTACGTGTGTGTGTGTGTGTGTGTGTGTGTGGTTGTTTGTATGTCGAAATATTATTATTATTATTGTGGTTTAATGGAGGAAGTTACGATCGATGCTTCATCGAACGATGAAAATAAAAATAATAATACAATAACAACAAGAATGATAAATAATAATAATTATTATTTATTTATATATAATAATAATTATTATTATGTTATTATTATTTATAAATAACAGAACATCTCAAAATATGAACAACGGACTTTTTCAACGAATAAGAAAGCTGACGAATGTTTACATTCACACACATACATACACATACATGCACACACACACACATACATATACACACACATACATACATGCATACATACACACATATAGGCACACAAACACACATACAAACACACACACACACACACACACATACAAAAGTGCGAACGCATCTATAATATTTTTATTGTCTTAATTATTTTTAACGATTGTCAGGTTGAATAACTATTCGCCATCATCATCAATGTCATCACCAAGGTAACTATATATGTTAATGATGATGATGTTGTGATGGTGATGATAATGATGGTGATGATGATGATGTGATGGTGATGATGATGATAGTGATGATGACGTTGAAATGATGATGATGTTTTTGATTTTTTAAGCAAAAATATTGAGTGGATGATGCAGATGAAAATAGTAATAGTGATGAAGATTTTCTTAAAAAGTTAATTTTAAAGCCTCCAACACACACATGATAGATGCAAGTATCAATACATTAACAACAAGAAAAACACCATTTCCTAGTTAATTATCTCGTGAAAAAATAAAAAAATTTAGTTTAACAACAAAATGAAACATTTTGCAACGGAAACAGAAAAAAATTGAAGAGTTTCGCATTAAAAAAAACCAAAAAATACAAAAAAAAAAACACAGTACACATTATTTGGTCATCCATCATCTAGTTTTAGAGGTAGAGTAATACAAGAGATTCCTCACCCTCTTAGTTCGCTAATCACCGCATTAACTAAAAAATCTTTTAAAACTTTAAAAAGAAGTTTGTTCAGGTGAAAAATTAACACCTATGCAAGCGTAATTTGTATGAAATGAATATAAACATCTTTAATCTTTACATCTTTTCACACACACACACACCACACACACACACACCACACACACACAAAGAAACATTAACGCTTGCATAAACATACCAAAAAAATACAAAACAACAAATAAACAGAGAAACCTGGATAATATACACTACGTAAAAAAAATCTATGTGAGCAAGCAAAATAAATAACTGACTTTATTTTTCACGTTTAATAGAAGCGCGCCAAAAAAACGCGCCAAATTTTATTTTATTAAATTTATCATTCAATCTATTTAATTTTAAAATATAATTTAATTTCTTTTATTATTATTTTATTTTTTTTCTATTTTTTCGAAAACATTGTTTGATTGGGAGTAGACTCCTTCATTTGTTATGCGTAGCCTGGTATAATGCCATCTGCAACTGGAGTGTATTTATTTATAAGGGCCTGGTGATGATGACGATGAGGACTGTGATCCTGATAGTGATGATGAGTGTGATGGTGATGAGGATGATGAAAACAATGATGATAATTGCGGTGATGATGATAACTGTGATGATGATGATAATGATGAAAACGATAATGAAGACGGTGATGACGAGAATAAAGATGATAATGACGATGATGTTTCCTATGACATTTACGATGATGAAGATTGTGATTGAAACGATTATGACGATTAAAAAGATACAAACGACGATGATATAATGATGAAATGATAACAGTGACGTCATCCACGATGGTGACGACGACGACGATGATGACAGCTATTTTCTAAATTGGTTAACTTTGGCAAGCTGAGATATGGAGGCCAAAAATCAGAGGCATGTCGTAAAATGACAAAATGAAATATATATAACGATGATGATGGTGACGAAGACGATGAGGATGACGAAGATGAAGTTGTGTTATTTGTGTAGTTTTTGTTATTGGTTGTTGCTATTGCTGTTATTGTTGATGCTATTGTAGTTGTTGTTGGTGTTATGTTTGTTGTCGTCGTTGTTGTTGTTGTTGAGTGTTTTTAATGTCAATCGACATTGCAGTAGAATATAAAGATGCTATTTTGTTCGTTTGATGTCATTCGATATTGTTGTTTTTATTCATACTGTTGTTTTTTTTATTATTGTAGCTGTTGTTATTGTTATTGCTGTTGTAATGGTGTTTGCTATTGTTGTTGTTGTGGTTGCTGTAGGAGTGGATGTTGTTGTTGGCGTTGTTGGCTCAGGGCGGGAAATTTGATTTACGGCTGCAATCAAGAACGAGAAGTCAGTGCTGCCGCTTCCGCGATAGTGGTGGTGGTGGTTTAGGTAGAAGTTTAGATGGTTATCAAGATGGTTTAGTGGTTATACTGATGGCGATGATGATTGTGATATTGATGATAATGATGACGACGATAATGACGATTGTAATTGGGATAATGATGATGATAACAATGATGAGACGACGATGATGACGAAGACGACGACGATGGTAGAGATATTGATAAGAATTAGGAGCGACTAGATTGAATTAAGATGAAATTAATCTGGTTTAATGTCAAATTAATTACTTTGTGGGCTTCTTGAAACTGATAGAAAGAAAGACGAATGAATGAATGATTAGATGAATGAATGAATAAGAAAATAAAAAAATAAATAACAGAAGAATGAAATTATGAAAGAATGGATGCATGGATGGATGTATGGATGATAAGAAATAGATAGACATGATATTGAAAAGGTATATGGGTAAAAAGAAGGTTATATAAAATTGTATAAAAATTGAAAGATAAATAGATAAGAAGTGAGATAAACCAATGAATAAGTGAACGAAGCACAACACACACACATATACACACACACACACATGCACACATACACACATGCACACACACACACACACACACATACAAACTTAGTAACAAATTCAAAATGCGTCAGGGAGTAGTCGAAAAATTAAAAAACTAATTGACACTCAAATGCCGAAAAAGCAAGTGAACTCTGAATTAAAAATTTGCAACATTTGCCAAATTACAACACAACAGCAACAAAAATAATAACAACAACAACAATAACGATAATAACAATAAATGCAAAGTAAAAAAAACATACTGACCCCACACGTTGAAAAAACACTAATGCTGCTTAGTGGTGCAATTACAAAATAAACATTACGAAAACACGTACACACACATACATACAAACATACATACATACAAACACACATATACAAACAAACATACGCATATACACGTGTGCGGACAAACGCATCACTCCCACATACACATACACGCATACAAACCAGCAGTTAATACAATACAAACATACGGTAAAACAAACAAATATACAAACTAATATTCACATATGTGCAAACATATACAAACAGCAAATGTACAATAGTCAATACTTGTACCCAACATACACACACACA